GCCCCACAATATGCCAACATTTTTATGGCTGATCTGGAACAACGCTTCCTCAGCTCTCATCCACTCACGCCCCTTCTCTACCTACGCTACATTGATGACATCATCATCTGGACCCATGGGAAGGAGATTCTGGAAGAATTCCACCACGATTTCAACAGCTTCCACCCCACCATCAACCTCAGCCTGGACCAATCTACACGGGAGGACCACTTCCTAGACACCATGGTACAAATAAGTGATAGTCACGTTAACACCACCCTATACCGAAAACCCACCGACGGCTATGCCTACCTTCATGCCTCCAGCTTCCATCCCGAACACACCATACGATCCATTGTCTACAGCCAAGCGCTGAGGTTATAACCGCATTTGCTCCAATCCCTCAGAGTTGGACAGAGGCCAACACCTACAAGATCTTCACCAAGCATTCTTAAAACTACAATACCCGCATGAGGAAATAAGGAAACAAATCAACAGAGCCAGATGTGTCCCCAGAAGCCTCCGGCTGCAAAACAAGCCCAAGAAAGAAACAAACAGAACTCCACTGGCCATCATCTAGAGTCCTCAGCTAAAACCTCTCCAACGCATCAGTAGTGATCTACAACCCAGACAACGATCCCTCGCTTTCACAGCCCTTGGGAGGCAGACCAGTCCTTGCCCACAGACAACCCGCCAACCTTAAGCATATTCTCACCAGCAACTACACACCGCACCATAATAACTAACTCAGGAACCAATCCATGCAACAAACCTCGATGCCAAATCTGCCCACATATCTATACTAGCGACACCATCACAGGACCTAACCAGATCAGTCACAACATCACCGGTTCGTTCACTTGCACGTCTACCAATGTAATATTACGCCATCATGTGCCAGCAATGCCCCTCTGCTATGTACATCGGCCAAACTGGACAATCCCTACGTAAAAGGATAAATGGACACGAGCCAGATATTAGGAATGGCAATATACAAAAACCTGTATGAGAACACTTCAATCTCCCTGGCCACACAATAGCAGATGTAAAGGTAGCCATCTTACAGCAAAAAAAACTTCAGGACCAGACTCCTAAGAGAAACTGCAGAGCTTCAGTTCATTTGAATGGCTGTGAATGGCTAGCCAACTACAAAAGCAGTTTCTCCTCCCTAGGTGTTCACACCTCAACTGCTAGAAGAGGGCCTCATCCTTCCTGATTGAACTAACCTCGTTATTTCTAGACTGATTCTTGCCTGCATATTTATACCTACCTCTGGAAATTTCCACCACATGCATCTGATGAAGTGGGTATTCACCCACAAAAAGCGTATGCTCCAATACTTCTGTTAGTCTATAAGGACTAGCCAAAGGACTGTCACTTTTTACAGATCCAGACTAACACGGCTACCCCTCTAAAACATTACTCTACAATCAAGGGTCCTATGGCACCTTTAAGACTAACAGAAGTATTGGGAGCATAAGCTTTCGTGGGTAAGAACCTCACTTCTTCAGATGCAAGTAATGGAAATTTCCAGAGGCAGGTATAAATCAGTATGGCGATAACGAGGTTAGTTCAATCAGGGAGGGTGAGGTGCTTTGCTAGCAGTTGAGGTGTGAACACCAAGGGAGGAGAAACTGCTTCTGTAGTTGGATAGCCATTCACAGTCTTTGTTTAATCCTGAGCTGATGGTGTCAAATTTGCAAAGTTGGCAGGTTGTCTGTGGACGAGGAACACTATGGTCTGGTGTTATGTAGGAGGTCATTTTAGATGATCATAAATGGTCCCTTCTGGCCTTGATATCTCTGAATATTCAAGGAAATAAGTTAACATTGAAATAAGATAGCCAGAAACTGCAAATCTCAATGTTGAAACCATAGCATAGGTTTGTACTTGCTGTATTCATATTCTAAGACACAGAACTACTGTAAAAAAGGTAAATGACAAACTCAATCTCTTA